CCCCCAATTCCCCAGCGCTGTTCCCATCCCCCCAATTCCCCAATAAAAATCTTAAAAAAAAATACTTCTTTTTAAGTTAGGCATTTCTCAAAATATTGTCTTATATGTCTGTATTTGATAATGAAAAAATAAGTTATTTTTCTCTAACTCAGTAAAATCTAGGATTTCCCAACATTTCTTCAGAATATTAATCCCTCAAGATACAACTTAGGGTAAAAAAGTGCTGTAATCAATTAACTTTGGGATACATGGCATATAATATACTTGAAGGTTTATAACACACATTAAGTAATACATTTACATATACAATAAATTTACCATTTAATTTTAACCATTGTTTGCAAACATATATGACTACTAAATCCCTTTCTTGTATAGGTCTTGTTAATGTGGAACAAATGTGAGAAACAGCTGTGATTTAATCATTCAGAAATAAAGGACTAATGACATTTACTAATATTTGTTGAGGTTTCCTATGTGCCAGCACTGGTCTCAGAATTTTGCATAAATTATATTAAACCTAAAATAAACCTATGAAATACAGGTATCATTATTATTCCCCTTTTACAGATGAGGAAACTGAGGTTCAAAGTGGTTAATAACATGCTCAAGGTCATGGCTAATGGAGTAAGCATTTGAATCTAGGCAATCTAGTTACAAAATCCACAGTTTCTAGTCTCTGTGACCTTTATGTCATTTGTGAATGTTCAACTAATGTAAGAATAACTTATTATAAAATATTGTGTTATCTTTGTTACATAGCTATTGCTGGAATTCCTCTGCCTCAGAACCTGAGTGGATATTCTTTGTTGCCACTGTCATCAGAAAAATTTAAGAATGAACATAAGTTCAAAAACCCACATCCGCCCTGGATTCTGAGTGAATTCCATGGATGCAATGTGAATGCTTCCACCTACATGCTTCGGACTAACCAGTGGAAGTATATAGCCTACGCTGATGGTGTTTCAGTATTGCCTCAACTCTTTGGTAAATTTGTTTATGTATCTTTTAAGTGTAGGATGATGTGTAATGAGCTGATCTACATAGCATTGCCTAAAAGATCCAGTAATCATTGTTAAAAAAATAAATATCAGCTGCTTCTCATGCTGGGACAATCTACAAAAGGTTGTCCATGTGAGCAAATCAGCATCTGAATTCCTGAGCAAGTGCCCTCAGACTTTTGATCTGGCTCTCAAGATTGAAACCACTGTTTTCTCTGATCAGGGTGTCTTCTAATACTCATGGTTATCTTTCCTAATCAGTAGTCAGCACCCTCTCATTGGGCCTTGGTTTCAGCTGTTCCGGAGGATTAACACCTCTATCTTATGAAGCCTGACATTCTACATATATTATTTAATGTTCACTCCAACCCTACAAGATGATACCATTATCCTCATTTTATAGAGAAGACTGGGGGTCAAAGGTATTCACATATCTGTGCGAGATCTCACAGCTAAGAAGGGGCAGAACTGGGATTTCAACCAACTTCTGACTTCAAAATCCAAGCTGCCTCCACCCTACAATAATACCTGATAGCTTTGCTACTCTGTGAATTAATTTTAAAGCTATAAATTAATTTTAAAGCATTTAAAATTAATTTTAGAAATTTAATTCTAACCTTATTAGAATCAAGGTTTTACTTATCCTTTGCCCCCTTTTGCACATAATATATGGTGCTAAAGCCATTATTAATATTTGTTTCTCCCTGTTTCCTTCCCAATTACAAATGTCAAAATTATTAACTCAAAATAATTATTTAGGGGCCAAACTGATTAACCCCCTTAATTCTAAGAGCACAAGGTTCTTGGCTTCAAAGGGAATCCTTACAGTGTCATCCTGATGAGTAATGGGCATCTCTTGCTTGTTCACTGGTCATGTTCTGCAAAAAGCAGATGTGTCTGTCAAAGGGTCAGTTCTTGTATTCTCTGGGGTTTTACTAACTTCTCTTTCCCAAAGAGGTGCCATCTAAAGTCACCTAACAAAGTCACAAATATCTTCAGGGGGTCTTCTGACTAATGCACTCAATAGAGGTTTTTCCCTCAACACGCATTGTTCATTTACTAGCTTTAGTAAATTGTCATAAGAGATGTTCTGTGCTATTTTTCCCATTATATTGGTATCCTAGTTATATCCTGTCTCCCTACATCATAGGTAATAAGGGTGTTTATGTTATCTGAAATATTTATCATTATCATTATTTCCTTGATGATAGCAATTGAGAGGAGTTTTTATTTCCATGGCTATTTGCTCAGACAGCACAGATGAATCTAACTTTCAAAACCCCAAGCACAAAATGCTAATATGTACAGAAAACTAGGAGTAAGTGAAGTTGCAAGAACATGACTTGGCTATATAAAGAATTCTTATAGCTGGAAAGGTTGGGGCTGTTGAAATGGGACAATGTAAGTGTTACCTTTTTTTTTCTCTCTCTCTGTATGACAAAGTAAGCAAGGCATCAAAATTAGGAAGAATTAGGGCAAAGCCAGCTCACTAGTAATAAGGGTTTGACTGTGTCTGCCCTCTAAGAATGGATAAGAAAAAAATGGAATAGCAGGATGATGGTAGGAAGGAAGATAATTTAGACATACATTTAGAGTGATATATTATTTTATCATTTACACTATCCTTCATCTTACTGTACTAAGAGGAACTGAAAATAAAAATGAATTCTAATACATTATCTGTCACAGAATAATAACATTTTAATGTTTTCGTAGCAGATAACTATTTTGACAGGTATTTAAATTTTTTCTTTCAGATCTTTCCTCAGATCCAGATGAACTAACAAATATTGCTACAACATTTCCGGAAATTACTTATTCTTTGGATCAGAAGCTTCGTTCCATTTTAAATTACCCTAAAGTTTCTGCTTCTGTCCACCAATACAATAAAGAGCAGTTTATCAACTGGAAACAAAGTGTAGGGCAAAACTATTCAAATGTTATAGCAAACCTTAGGTGGCATCAGGACTGGCAGAAAGAACCGATGAAGTATGAAAGCGCGATTGATCAGTGGCTTAAAACCCATACTATCCAAACAAAATTGGAACAAAAATAAGAAAATAATGTTCAAGAGCTACAAAGAAATATGTTAAAAGATCATGATTAATTATGTTTTAAATATTAGTTGGAATAATTACTGATTTTTACTTTTTAAAAATGTATTCTATTTTAAAATAAAAACCACTCATTGTATAATTATATATTTTCAAAAATATATTCTTCATTCTTACCAATGTCTAACAACTTAATGGAAGTAGAAAAAAATGGAAGCAGATAGTATAATTTAAAGTTATATCTTCTGGATAATATGGAATATAGAATATTCTAACAATTATTGAGCCATCCTGCTACCTGTTGGCAGCTCAGCGGCTGCTCAGCTCGGGCTGGACTCAAACCGCTGTTGCTCAGAGCTCAAACTCTTGAGCGAGCTCTTGACCAGCTGAGCCACTCCACCGGCCCTGATTTGTGTGTATTTGATAGGACATAAACCCTGGATATGGCTGACTTTATTACTTATTTTTAAATAGGCAATACGTACACAAGGTACAAGCTTTGAAAGGTACAGACGAGTTAACAGTGAGCATGAAGTCTCCTTCCTTTTCTAGTCCCCCAGCCACCCAGTTCCCCTTCCTGGAGGCCACTCATGTCACCACCTTCCTATGTATCTTTTTAGAGACAGAACATGCATCTACAAACAAACTTTATATTCCTTTTTCCCCACACACAATGGCAGCATACTATATAAAATGGTCTGCATCTTGCTGTTTTTTCCACTTAATAGATATCTAGAAGTGAAATTGCTGAGGCAACACTGTATCTAGCAAAATTATGCTAAATACTACCAAATTACCCCTAAAGAAGTTATACCAGCTTAAACTCTCACCAGCAATGCATGCCCTCACATCCTTTGCCAGCCTGATAGATTAAAAATATATTATTTTTTCTTTTTATGAATAAGGTGGATCATATTTTAATATACTTAATAATCATTGGAATTTCCTTTACTGTGACATTTCTTATTTCTAGTCTTTGCCTATTTTTCTGTTGGTTGTCGGTCTTTTTTATTACAGGCATGCTTTAGATATTAGCCCTTTGTAAAAGAAGCTTCAAAGTTTTTCTTTTTTGTAATTTCTTTTTTTACTTTGTTCTAGTGTTTTTTGGCATGTAGAAATTGGTATTTTCAAATTATCAAATTTATGAATCTTGGCTTTTGTGGCTTTGGGATTTTATATCATATATATTTAGAATGGTCTTCCCCACTAATCTGCTTTTAGAGATTTTTCATCCTTTGATCCTGACCCATCTGGAACATATTACAAATTAGAGATATAACTTTAGTTTGTTTTTTAAGATGGCTACCCAATAGACCTTTTATTGAGTAAACTAACATTTGTCCCATTGGTTAGAAAATGTCACCACTTCATTATATAACATATTTTGTTGAATGAATTATTTTTTCCTCTATTGATTTGCAATGTCATTTTATGATATACCAAGTCTCATTTACATTCAGGTCCTTTCAGAACATTTTTTAATTTGCATTGGACCATTCTGTTTATTAATGTGATAGTCTTTATCTGGTCAGACTAGTCTCTTTGCAACAGTTTTCTTTTTCAGAATTGCCCTGGCTACCCTTGCTAACTTATTTTTTTCCATACAAATTTAGAATATTTGTCTAGTTCCAAAAATGAAAAACCTTGTTAGTCTTTTCATGAAATCATATTAAATGGATAGCCTAATTTAGGGAGAATTGAATTCTTAATGATATGCAAATTATTCTAGAGGATAGCCTAATTTAGGGAGAATTGAATTCTTAATGATATGCAAATTATTCTAGAGAAGAGTACTTTTTTTCTCTTCCTTCAAGTCTTTTATAGTGCTCAGTAGTATTCTAAGTTTTCTTCATATAGATCAGTTTCTTCATAAAGATTTTTTGAAAGCTGGGACCTTAAAAAAAAAAAACCACTTAGGCCCCACCCCATACCAACTGATTTAGAATTCTAGGGATGGCACCGGGCACTGTTTGTTCTTATTGTTGTTTTGGTTAAGCCCTGCAGCTGACGATCCTAATGATCCTAATGTGTAGCCAGAGGTGAGCTTATTCTTAGTTCTTTTATCGTTTGTTGTTGGCGGTGCTATTTTAAGTGGATCTTTCTTCCATAATATCTTCTAACAACCTTATTTTTTATTTTTCAGTTGGTATCTTGCATTTTTCCAGAAACAAAAGTGTATCTGCATACAATAATTTTCAAACTGTCTTTGAAACTTTCTTTATGAGCCTGTTCATGTCTGTCCTTTATCGTTTTTCCGTGAATTTGTATGAGCTTATCTTTGTAGTTATATATGAATATTATGGTTGGGGCTGTTCTTACTGGCTATTAACCATATTGTAAGTCACTGAATCAGACTAAGAACTTGGTGTTGAGGGGATCTGAGCAAGTAACACACAGTAGGTGGAAGAAGCTCCGTGTGTAAAGCAGAGCTGTTCCTTCCACGCCGGTTATACATCCTGTGTATCTGTGTATGTTTACAATTACGTGGCTTAAACTCTCACATAAGATTTCTGGCCCTTTTTTTTTTATTTTAAAGTTACAAAGCAGAATCTTAAATAATTCATAGGTCATAAAGTTAGTTATATACTATTTTGAAAATAAGAAAACTTTCGAGAACATATAACACAACTAAAACTACAGTCAGAAAAATATTCTTAACCTTAAACTTTTTCTCATTAAGACAAAATAAAAATAAATAAGCTGTTGAATTTAGGAAGATAGAAAACAAAATATGCATAAATTTTATATTTATGTTAAAAAACTAGTATCCTTAAATAATGCTCCAAGAGTTCTGCTTCTACACAGGGTACAGAAAGCTGCAAGGGAATACTGCTCCCACATTAACAAAAACCAACAGGGGATAAAAAGCTAGATCATCTAAAAATCAAAACTCTTTTGGAGTCTACCAGAGGACTGAGGATGCAAAGAACCAGGTGAACCAAAGAATGAAAAAAAGAGAGCGAAAAAAGTGGAGGAAGATGGAGCAGAGCATCCAAGAGCTATGGGACAACATGCAATGGTAAATGTATGTAATTGAAATCACAGAAGGAGACTAGAGAGAGGAAAAAATGTCAGAAGAAATATCTGAAAAGAATTTCCTAAAACTAATGATAGAAAATAAATCACCACCCTAAATGTTTAGAGAAGCCCAAGCAGAATACAGACAAAGAAAACACACCTAAGCAATCATAGTCACATTGCTGGAAAACACAGATGAGGAGAAAATCCTGGAGGCAACCACAGAAAAAAGAAACATTTGATACAAAGGACCAAAGATAAGAATTAAAGCAGATTTCTCATCAAAAACTATGCAAACCAGAAGACAATGGTGCAACTTCTTTAAAGTACTGAAAGACAGATTGTCATCCTAGAATTCTATGTACCCAAAAATATTTTTCAAAAACAAAGGTGAAATTAAAACTTTATCACTCACTCACACACACACACACACACACACACACACACACACACACACACACACACCTGAAAAAATGTGTTGACAATGTACCTGGACTATAAAAAAATTTTAAAGGATGTTCTTCAAGCAGAAAGAATATGATGCCAAATAGGAATATGGATTTACACAAAGAGAGAAATAGGAACACTTATACATTATTGGGGGGAATGTTAAATAGTGTAGTCTCTGTGGACAACAGTTTGGAAGTTCCTCAAAAAGTTAAACGTAGAATTACCTATTACCCAGCAATTCCACTCCTAGGTATATACCCTAGAGAACTGAAAAAAGGTGTTAGAAGAAAAGCTTGTACACAAATGTTCATAACAGCATTATGCACAATAGCCAAAAAGTGGCAACAACCCAGATGTTTATCAGGTGATAAATGAATTACAAATGCAGTAATCCATACATTGGAATGTTATTTGGCCATAAGGAGGAATGAACTACTCTTATATGCTACAATATGGATGAACCTTAAAAACATTATGCTGAGTACAAAAATGACACAAAGGCCATATACTGTATTATTGCGTTTACATGTAATGTCCAGAATAGACAAATCCATACAGATGGAAAGTAAATTAGTGGTTTCAAGAGCTAGGGGAAGAAGGGAGTGTGTATGGGTTTTCTTTTTGGAGTAATAAAATGTTCTAGAATTAGACAGGAGTTATGGTTGCACAAACTTTTGAATATATGAAAAACTTAACTATTTTAAAGGCTGAATTTTATGATATGTGAATATCTCAATTTAAAAATGAGGAAATAACAATAACACTATTTTTTCATACATGAGAATGATAAAAATTAAAAATGATGAGGCACTTTCTGGACTTGTATATCTATTTCCTTTACCCAGTTAAGGAAGTATTCCATCATTACTTTTTCAAATAGGTTTTCAATTCTTTGCTCACTCTCTTCTCCTTCTGGTACCCCTGTGATGCGAATGTTTCACATCCTTAAACTAGCCTCATTTTTTGAATTCTTTTTTCTTTTTGCTGTTCTGATTGGGTGTTTTCTGCTACCTAGCCTTCCAAAACACTGATTCGATCCTCTGCTTCATCTAATCTGTTGATTCCCTCTAATGTATTCTTCATTTCAGTTATTGTATTCTTCATTTCTGACTGGTTCTTTTTATGTTTTCTATCTCCATTTTTATATTTCCTATCTCTTTGTTAAAGAGTTCATCTACTCTTCCCCTAAGCTCACTGAGCATCCTTATAACCAGAGTTTTGAATTCTGTGTCTGGCAGATTGCTTGTCTCCATTTTGTTTAGTTCCTTTTATCGAGTTTTGTTCTTTTCTTTCATTTGTGACATGTTTCTTTGCCTCATCATCTTGGCTGCCTTCCTGTATTTGTTTCTATGTGTTAGGTACAGCTGCTATGTCTCCTGGTCTTGGTAGAGTGGCCTTATGTAGTAAGTGCCCTGTTGGGTCCAGTGGTGCAACCTCCCTGATCACCTGAGCCAGGTGCTCCAGTTGTTGCCTGTGTATGAACTGTGTGTGCCCTCCTGTTATAGTTGAGCCTTTATTGTTGTTGACATGTTAATAGCAGGGATTGACCCTCAGGTTGATTAGTTGTGAGAACTGGCGGTGACTACAGTGGAAGAGCTGTTGTGCAAGTGTTGACCCCACAGAGCAGAATTTGCTTTGGCAGGGCTCTAGTGCCTGCCAATTTCACCCTTTGGGTGTGTTGTTTGTGGAGGTGGTTGGGTGCTACTCTGGTATGGTCTGAAGCTGACCACTGGGTGTGTGGATTCCGGGGCCTCTTGGGAGGGGCTCTGGTGCAGGCCAAGGTTAACTGCTGCCTGTGCCCTGCCCAGGGCCACCTGGTATAAGCTACAAAGTGATCTTCAGATGGTTGCCACTTGTGCTAGGCTTGGAGGTGCCTGGGAGAGGCTAAGCTTCGAACCAAGGCTGGCTGCCACTAGTGCCAGACTTGGAGCTGCTTAGAAAGAGGTATGAAGCAAGCTGAGGCCAGATGCTGCTTTCGGAGTTTGTGGACCTTTGAGATATTTTAGGAAAGTCTACAGCACAAGCCAAGACAGGATTTTACATGTAAAAGCTACTGGAAGTGGCTTGGGTGGGCTCTAAAGTTAGCAGGGGCCAGGTCTCAGGGAATCACCAGGGAAGAATGAATGGTTTTAGCCAGGTTGATGGAGACCCAGATACGGCAACTACAGGGCGGGTGAGGGAAGGCTCAGCAAAGGAATAATGGCTTCTGACTGCACTTCTGTCTGGGAGAAAACTGCCCTTGCAGCACCCGCCCTGAGGCCAGACAATTCAGTTCTTTCCCATGGCCCTTTTTGAGATGTTGCCCTAAGTGCAGAGAGTTGCAAACAAGATGAACCCAAAGAGGCCCACACCAAGACACATCATAATTAAAATTCCAAAGGTTAAAGACAAAGAGAGTATCTTAAAAGCAGCCAAGAAAAAGCAACTAGTTACCTACAAGGGAGCTCCCATAACACTTTCACTGATTTCTCAACAGAAACTTTGCAGGCCAGAAGGGATTGTCATGAAATATTCAGTGATTGGTGGTGACTGGTTAGCTCAGTTGATTAGAATGTGGTGCTGATGAAATATTCAGTGACAAACAGCAAGGACCTATAACCAAGATTACTCTAACCATCAAGGCTATCATTTAGAATTAAAGGACAGATAAAGAGCATTCCAAACAAGAAAGTACTCAAGGAGTTCATCAACACCAAACCAGTATTACAAGAAATGTTAAAGGGACTTCTTTAAGAAGAAGATGAAAAAAAAATCAAAAATATAAATAAAATGGTAATAACTACTGTATTTCCCCATGTATAAGACACTCCCATGTATAAGACGCACCTTAATTTTGGGGCCTGAAATTTGAAAAAAATGCATTGCATAAAGTTATTGAACTCAAGTTTCATTCATCATAAAATTCATACAACTCCTCATCACTGTCAAAACTCCCAACCATTAGCTTGTCCTCATCTGTGTCTGATGACGAATCACTGTCTTCATATATTGCCTCGTCCTCAGTTCCATCTATGGCATTTGAAATGCCACACTTTTTTAATGACTTGACAACGATCTCAATCTTGATATTGTCTCAGGATCTTTTCACCCAGATACAAACTTCTCCTATAGTTGGTTTCTTCACTCTTCCTGCTGGTGTCAAATTGTCCCCAGAAGACTTCATCCATTGGTTCCATTCGTCTCTCCTGGCAGCTTTGAAGGGTTTGGTAATGCTGAGATCAAGTGGTTGGAGCTGGGATGTCAAGCCTCCAGGTATGACGGCAAGTTTTGTTTTTCGCTCTGCAGCAATCTTCTTTGTGTTTTTTGTTGTGTGCCCTGAACTGATCAAGCATCAATAGGGCAGGTTTGCATAAGAGTCCACTTGGTCTCCTGCTCCAAATTTTCTCAAACCAGATCTTCATCCCATCCTGATCCATCCAACCCTTGTCATGAACGTGAACAATCACTCCTCGAGGAATGTCTTCTTTTGGCATTGTTTTGCGTTTGAAAATCAGCATAGGAGGCAGGTTGGTTCCGTTGGCACAACAAGCTAGAACAACTGTATAATGGCTCTTTTCATGTCCACTTGTCTTCACAGTTACAGTTTTCACCCCCTTCTTATCAACAGTTCTGTTACTTGGGACATCAAATTGATGGGGGACTTCGTCCATATTTGCAATCTGTCCCAATTCAAACTGATGTGTCTTCCGACATTGAATGACAAAACGATGAAATTCAAGGACCTTATGCTCATAGCTTTCAGGCATCTTTTGGGCAAGTCTGGTGCGTGTACACATGGTTAGTCCATTCCGTTTCATGAACCTGAAGCACTAATTGTGACCTCCTTTGAAATCAGTAACTTCTTTTTCATCAGCAGTTCTTCTTGCCTCATGCTGAACCATCTTTGTGGATACAGTAATTCCAATTGCCCTTTGCTCTTCAATCTATATCTTCAATTCCCTCTCTAAATCTGGCCATTTTGCTGACTTGCCTATCATGGCCTTCTTCTGCCGTGGCGTTTTCAGTAGGGTTCTTCTTCCCATAGCCAGTCTTGGGTTGTTTTCTCAGTTGGAGGAGGACCAAACTTACGTTCAGCAGCACAATTTCCACTCACTTTTGCAAACTGGATCACTTTTAACTTGAATTCAGCACTGTACGAAAATCTTTCTGAGCCATTTCTGGGCAGAACGTGGCAAACGTAACCTACCATAATATACCGGTAACAAGTGCGAAACAATGAGCCCAACGACAACAAGCACGAAAAAGCGGGAAATGCAAGTAAAAAAAAAAATCTACAACAATGAGTGCAAAAACAAGCGCAAAAAAAGCGGGCAATACAAGTAAAAAAAAATCTATAACCACTGTATAAGACACACCCGGTTTTTAGACCCCAAATTTTTTGAAAAAGTGTGCGTCTTATACATGGGGAAATACGGTACATACCTATCAATCATTACTTTAAATGTAAATGGTAAAGAGCCCAATCAAAAGACATAGGATGGCTGAGTAGATAAGAAAACAAGACCCTTATATATGCTGCCTACAAGAGACCCACTTCAAGAGCCGGCTGAGTGGTTCAGTTGATTAACAGTTTGCTTAAGAGCACAAGCTCTCAGCAATAGTGACGCTGGTTCGATTCCCACATGGGCCAGTGAGCTTCGCCCAAGCTGGGCCCTAGCTGAGCTGCTGCTGAGCTGCCAACAGGTGACAGGATTGCTCAGCTGGTGAGAGCACATGCTCCTAATGACAAGATTGCCTGTTCATGGTGGGCTATGCCGCAGCTGGGACTGAACTCGGCACCTTAAGCAGAGCTGCCGGCCAGATGGCTCAGTAGACAGAGCATACACTCTTAACAGCAAGGTTGCCAGTTCGACTCCCGCATGAAAAAAAAAAAAAAGAGAGAACCACCTCAGAGCATAAGACACACACACTGCAAGTAAAGGGATGAAAAAGGTATTTCATGCAAATGGTAACGAACAAACAAAAAAAACTGGAGTAGCATTACTTGTGTCAGACAAAAAAGACTAAAACAAAGGCTATAACGAGATAAAGAAGGACCCAGCAATTTCACTTCTGGTTATTTATCCAAAGAAACACAAAACACTAATTCAAAGAAAACATATGCACCCTGATGTTCATTGCAGCATTATTTACAATAGCCAACATATGGAAGTAGCCTAAGTGTCCATCAATCCATGAATGGATAAAGAAGATGTAGTAGGGCCAGCCAAGTGGCTCAGTTGGTTAAGAGCTCACTCAAGAGTGCGAGCTCTGAGCAACAGGGTTGCCGGTTCAATTCCTACATGAGCGCAAGCTGAGCTGCCGCTGAGCTGCCAACAGGTGGCAGGGTGGCTCAGCTAAAAAAAAAAAGATGTGGTATATATACAATGGAATATTACTCCACCATAAGAAAGAAGGAAATCTTGAAATCTTGCCATCTGCAACAATATGAATGGACCTAAAGGGTATTACGTTAAGTGAAATAAGTCAGACAGAGAAAGACAAATACCATATGATTTCATTTATATGTGGAATCTAAAAAGCAAAATAAATGAACAAACAAAACAGAAACAAGCTCATAGATACAGAGAACATTTTCATGGTTGCCAGATGGGAGGTGAGTTGGGGAATGGGTGAAAAAGGGAACGGGATTAAGATGTGTAAATTGCCAGTTATAAAAAGCAATCATGGGGATGTAAAGTACAGCATAGGGAATATAGTCAATAGCATTGTAATAACTATGTATGTTGTCAGATGAATACTAGATTTATTGGGGTGATCACTTTGTAAGTTATATAAATGTCTAATCACTATGTTGTACACCTGAAATTAATATATTGTTTGCCAACTGTAATTGAAAAATTAAAAATAATTACTAAGAAAGACAACAAAAATGATGAAGCTCACTATTGTGGGACTATAGGGAAAAACACACATGCATTGCTTGTGCCCCTTGTCAAGGGTAACTCAGCACCATGTATTAAAATGCTTTAAAAATGCATGTGCTCTGCCCTAGCAATTCCAATTCTAGGGTTTTATCTTAAGGGAATAACTGGATGGGTATGGAAGAATATATGTGAAGAGATGTTCTTCACAGAATTCTTTGCAAAGTGAAAATTAAAAAACCTTTGTCCAAAAACAGGAAGTTATTTAAATCATTTTAACTCTTTCACATTAAAGAGATAATTATATATCACGTTTTTTCACTGACTGACATGGAAAGCTAGAAAGCTGTTCAAATATAATCTTACGTGGGAAAAAAAGCAGGATACAAAATGTTGTATATAATATGAACTGTTTTTGTAAATCTACAGACCCGGTCATTATAGTCTGAAGGATATATAACTAAGCATTAACAATGGTTATCTCTGGGTGGTGTGTTAAGGGGTGTTTGCTGCTGATCTGAATTTTCTAATTTTTCTGCTCTTAATATGTACTATTTATATAACAAAAGAACTTGATTTCCCAAGGCTTTAACTCTCCCTCTTTCTTAAGTGCTGCACCAAGATTGGCTATTCCAAAATGTCCCCAGCTTCCTTGGGCTCCTCAGATAATACTGGCATAGGTATGAAAGGCATTTTTTTCTTAGGTGATAAATTTAATGTCAAGGCAGGAAGGTTTGCTCAGAGTTATCTGAAATGCATCACATATTCATTAACCCATCAACTCAAAACATATTTACTGATACCTACCACGTGTCAGGCCCAGTTCCAGGCCCTAGGGATACGATGATAGAAATGACAAAGATCTCTGGCCAAAGGACAACAGCTCGGGAAATGGGATTCCTCTGGCAACTGGAAAGACTGTCATTTGCTCCCACCAAAACCTCCTGTCCCATGCAGCTTAAATTATCAAATGTTTTCTTAGCCTGGGAATGTGAACCCCGATAGAAGCCCATACCAAGATGTGCAGGAATTCTACTTTCAGGGTGATTAGTGTGGAGGGTGCATACAACACAAATTGATGCCTCCAACAGGAAAACTAAAATGTGTTTATGAGGAGGTAAAATAAAAAGGGCAAAAATAAGAGAGGCAGCATTTAATCTAAATGATTTCCTGTGAGTTGGATTTCTTTTTTAAAATTTGGCCGCCTTATTATTTTCTTAGTCACCTTTTCTCTAGGCTTATTGGAGGCGTAGTCCCTCCTAGCAACCTCTCATCTGCTGGAAAACAGAATCAAGAGAAGGAGAAGCCGTGATGACACATCGTCACTGGATGAAAATATTAGGGGGAAAGCAATACATGTACTATCCATGCAGAAAACCTATTAATGTCCTCTTCAGACTAATGAAATGAATGTTTCATCATGAGAGAGCAGCTGTGATCGGCCGCTTCTACTAATGAGGAGTATTTGAAACTATCTGCAAACCACTGCTACTCTTAATTGCCAAGCAACATCATTGACTTTAATCTAGGTAAATGTTCTCATTGTTGGCTGGCGAAAGACAACAAAGATTCAGATTCATATATTGGGCTCTTCTTTGCTCAAAATGCTGTTAGGTTTCTTGTGTTCCTGTTTTTCTCCTGCTAGTACAGATCCATGGCATTTCAAACCTTTTTTTTTTTTTAATCAAAACTAGTGTCTTTTTTTTTTTTCCTGCCGGCAATTGAAACCATTTTGAGGTGGATAATCTCAGTCAGGGGCTTTGTCTTTTGTGTTTGTCCTGGATTAACATGAGCCGTTACAATGGACCGGAAAAACGACCTCTGTCTACAAGTGCCCTACGGGTAAATAGCGAACCGGAGAGGTTCCAGAGCCCAGGGCTCTGCAGTTTCTGCGAGGGCAGCGTGGGGTGCGCGCAGAGATTGGAAGGGGAGACGGGATTGGGAGGGGGGACGCGAAGAAGGTGGAGAATCGGCATCATGTGTGTTCCTCGACTGTACAACCCACATTTGAGTGACAATTGACGAGGACAACCTATAAAAAATAGCTAAGCGCAAACCTACCGGAATCCATCTCCCTCTCTGTGCATGTGCGTTTTCAACTAACTTTGGGAACTCGTGTAGACCTGGCATCACGCCCTGCGAAGCTTCGCCTCCACCTTGGTTTCCCGCATCCTGCCTGGCCTCTTCGGTACCGCCTCTTCCTCCAGGCTAAGGATGGAGAATCCCTTCAGCCTCTCAACTCTGTGGACGGCGCCCAACCTCTCCGTACCCATCTCTCTGGGGTGGGGTATCAACCTGACTTCGGGACAGGGAGCCTCAGCCCTGGGGCCACCGCCGTTGCCGCCCGGGCCGCTCAGCCGCCTGGTCTTCCTGGGAGTCATCCTGGTAGTGGCCGTGGCCGGCAACGCCAAGGTGCTGTGTCGCCTGTGCGGTGGCGGCGGACCCTGGGCGGGTCCCAAGCGTCGCAAGATGGACTTCCTGCTGGTGCAACTGGCCCTGGCCGACCTGTACGCGTGCGGGGGCACCGCAGTGTCTCATCTGGCATGGGAGCTGCTGGACGAGCCGCGTCTGGCCGCGGGCGACAAGGCGTGCCGCTTGGTGCAGCTACTGCGGGCATCGGGCCAGGGCGCCTCCGCCCACCTCGTGGTGCTCATTGCCCTAGAGCGCCAGCGCGCCGTGCGCCGTCCGCAGGGCCCACCGCTGCCCGCGCGCGCCCTCGCCACCCTGGGCTGGCTGCTGGCGCTGCTTCTGGCGCTACCCCCGGCCTTCGTGGCGCGCGGCGGAGCCCCGTCACTGCCACCTGCCGTGCCCCCGGCCACCCGCGCCTGGCCGGGACAACGTCGCTGCAGCGGCATCTTCGCGCCCCTGCCGCGCTGGCACCTGCAGGTCTATGCGCTCTTTGAGGCCGCGGCGGGATTCGCGGCTCCGGTCGCGGTCCTGGGGGTCGCTTGCAGCCGCCTGATCTGCGCCTGGTGGCAGCGCCCGCCCCAGGCCCCATCGGCTCCGGCGCCCAGGTCGGCGAGTCCCGGCCGAGCCCCAGCGCACAGCGCGCTGCCCCGCGCCAAAGTACAGAGCCTGAAGATGAGCCTGGGGCTGGCCCTGCTGTTCGTGGGCTTCAAGCTGCCCTACTTTGCTGCCCGGCTGGCAGCCGCGTGGTCGTCTGGACCCGTGGGAGAGTGGGAGGCCGAGGACCTTGCGGTGGCTCTGCGCCTCGTGGGGGTGGCCAACAGCGCTCTCAATCCCTTCGTCTATATCTTCTTCCAGGCGGGCGACTGCCAGCTCCGGCGGCGACTGCGGAGGCACCTGGGCGCTCTCTGCGGCGCGCGGGAGGGAGTCGTGGAGGACGACGAGGGGGCCCAGGGCCACCAGGCTCTCCACCGCCACCGCTGGCCCCAACCCCATTATCACCACGCTCGGCGGGAGCAGCCAAAGGAGGGCTACTTGCGCCCACCCCTGCCGCGCCTCCGGCCACTGCCCTGCTCCTGCGAAAGCGCCTTCTAGGTGCTCCATGGTCAGTGACAGATCCTCTGTCGCCGCTGCGCAGCCTCCGAGGATCACGAAGCGGGCCAGGGTCTATCTTATAGATCACAACCGACAGGAGGGGTCTTCCAGAGAGTGACACTGAAGCTGTCCCGAGACACTCTCCTGTGATATGTCTTTCTAATGTTTACATTCTCCTACACTCTTCCAATTTCTTTTCCCCCAGTTCCTCTCACACTTTCTCACTTGGACACAGAGCAAGCCATAGGGAAATTGTAAAAACAATCAAAGATACAGAGTTATTTTTGCAGTTCTCTTTCGCGCTCTCATAGTGTTCTGGGTAAGATCATTTGTTTTAGCTAAATTGCCAGGCTTTCATTATTTGTTGCGTTATCATTTGTTTTTACTTATTTTGAATCGTATTTAAATCAAGTGTACCTTCGGGAGGAGACAATGTGCCTTTCTTTCTGGGAAGAAAATCCCCACGTTGCTCTCCCTGAGGAGCCTGTAAATTGTACCAGTGATATTGTCAGAAATGTAATGGCGCTGGCACTTCAGAGCCACAGAGTATTTGGAAAATAAAACCATTTCCCACAGAACCACTGGTACTGTTGTTTTACATGGTAATGGGTTTTCTCAAAGGAAAATCAGTGCGGCGTTTATTTGTAGTCTAGCTTCCATTTCAATAGAAGCGGGACTTGTAGGAGGGAGGCATAAAAGCTTCCCTTAGTCCCTTTCAAATACGGCCATTTTCAGTAGGAAACTGTCCCTGTGCCCAGAGCAGCCTCTACAGCTAGGGTGCCATGCACAGTGGACCCTCTCAGCACAAAGTCTCCAGAGAACTAGAGAAGAGAAGCACCAAAGCGGGGAATAGGGGCTGTCCCAAGTGGATGAGCCTCATAGAGATTTGCAGCTAGGAGCGAAGCTGCAACCACAGACTGTTGCATGTACATATCAGACTACCTTTGAAAAAAACGAAGGCGATGTCTATTGGTGTAGATTGCTAAGAACAAGCTCTAGGAGCAGATTTAATTGGTAACCTCGTCCTCTTAACTGTCCTTGGCTCCAAGCTAAGTGTCAGCACTTACGAACAAATACATTTACCAGCGTCCTTCAGCTGAGAATCTGCACACTTTCCATCACAGTGTTTCCTGTTTGTGCACAAATGTAGGACTAAGATGCAGAAAAAGGAAACAATTGATAAAGTCCACTTGTAGAGCCAATGCTCTCTGGGGGCTTTCTTTGTTTTGTTCTCTGATATATTCCAAAATTTTAAACAATGCTTGACACATAGAGGCACTCAACACATATTTGTTAAATGATTCATCATATGAGTCAGGCACAGACAAAATGGATAAAAGATTTCTTTTACAAAAAGATTTCTTTTACATAAAAGATGTCTTTTACAAGAAAAAATTTTCATTAGGTTTGGCTTACCTTCCTAGAAAATTCTGTCAAAAAACATTACAAAGTTATAGATTTTCCTTCCTCTCTTTAATCCACGCTACTTTGGTGAGGATGCTGTGGTGTGTACTATACCAAGAATAAGTCAGCCAAGAAGAGAAGAACACAGCCGTCTTCATGAACCCAGATCTGGTCTGTAGCATTATTTTTATTAATTAATAAACATTTTATTACCTGCTTATTTTGTGCCAAGCAATGTACTAGACATTGGAAATGCTAAGATGAGTAAGACACATCTTTCCCTCAAAGACCTTATAGTCATATGTAGGAGACAATCTGACAATTACAACAGTGTTATACGTGCTTTAATAGGAGTTCCAGTCAGGGTGCCAGGGCACTGAAGAACATCTGACTGCCTTGGAGGACTAAGGGAAGGCAGGAGAGAATTAGGAAAGGTTCACCAAAAGAGGCTCAGTCTAATGGCTGTGTAGGCATCATCAGGGAGGGAAGTGTGTTCTAGGAAACAGGAGTAGCACTTGTAAAGCATAGGGGAGAAAGAACATAGTAAGGTCAAGGAATGAAAATAGTTCAAATATCTAGCATCAGGGTGCCAGTGGGGCTTGACCTAATGAGATATGTGGCCAAAGAGAGAGAGCCTGGACCCAGTGAAGAAAGGTCTGCATGCCATGCCAAGAAAGCACAAGTAGCCTTTGAAAGATATAATCAGAGTTATAATACGATCAGATTTGAGTTTTGGAAATGTCACCCCAATGGTGGTATGAAGAATCAACTAATTGGGGTGGGGAGATGCCTAGAGGCAGATATCAAGGCAGAAGCCCAGAGAGACCTCAAAATATGACCTGTAACGTTGTATCACAATCTCTCAACTGAGATAATAAATTTAAGCCAGTTGAGTTGGATTTTCTGTTATCTGCAGTTAAGAACACTCTAACAGAAAAACTGGTTTAGCTGGCTTAAATGTATTATCTCACGTAACAGGAAGTCCGGTGGTAGGGCTGCTCGGGGCTTGATGAATTGAGTAGCTTCATAACCTCATAAGCAAGAACCTAGATCCTTTTTATCTTTCTTTCCTGAGCAGGTGCACTTGACATTAAGCTCAGCTCCCCTTGAGATCACAGAATGGCTGCTGTAGTTCCAGGCATTGCATTCAAACATGACAATGATCAGAAGAAGACTCTCTTTTCTTTTCTTTGCTCCTTATAAGAATGAAGAAACATTTCTCAAAAGTCCCGAGCAGACTCTCCACATGGCTCATTCGCCAGAACTATATCATATGTCCATATCTAGACCTATCATTGCAAGGGAAATAGAGCCATCATGATTAGCTAGGACCTGGAACTGAAGATATGAGTAGTATAGGGAAGGGGTGAAAAAAAAAAAGAGACTTGCATGTTTCCTTTTAGAAAGAAGAGGGAAGTGCTTGTTGGGGAGGGGGCACAGAGGAGGGGCAAGACTAAACCTTTATACAATGGCAAAATTGTTAAAGAGAGTGATTTTTACAATATGTTAGAGATTTTCAGCTGATTGCCAGCTAGAAATTATGAGACATCTCTAACTGGGTCAAAAATATAGAATGCAAATTCAAGTAGTTAATTTGAAATGCAACTAAACTGCATTTTCCACAGATTTTGTGGAAGATTTGGTTAAGCCCAATTTATATTGAAATGCTTTTCTTCTATAGTAAGGAAATTTCTCTAATTTTAACTAAATCCAAAACTTGAAGGTAGTGCTATATGACATGATTCCCATTCTGACAGCATTTATTTGTAAATTAGGAAATCTGGGGGTGACCGGTAAGCTCAGTTGGTTAAAGTATGGTGTTGATAACACCAAAGTTGCTGGTTTGATCCCCATATTGGCCACTGTGAGCTGTGCCCTCCTTAAAAGAGTCAACTATGCCATTGTAGCATGAAAGCAATGTGTAATCAATGACCATGGCTGTTCCCCAATTAAAAAATAAATAAATAAATTTGAACATCCCCTCAGAATGGTCAGCATTGATCCCAGGAATCAGCATTGCTACAGAAAACTCAGAGACTCAGTTCTGTCCCAATCAAGGAGGCCCCCAAAGGTTATCCCAAATCTAGACTCTTGCTACTGTAGGACATACTATTCAAATTTCACAGAAAGGTAAATGAGCAGTTGACCCTGAACTTGACCTCTTTTTCTAGGTATCACCCAAATAAGATATGATTAGAGGAAAAACCAGGCCACGTACTTGGAATCTTTGAGGAGTCTACTAATATCCACTCACCCACTATACATTCCCCTTGGAGTTAGATTTTAACGAAGCTGCTGCACACAGGCCTGGACTTCAGGATTCTGGGGAGTGGGGGGGGGACACTATTCATCTAGACGACAATGTAAATGTCACCACCAGAATTGAGCAATGTGGTGGTCCTGATTTTCATCAGAACTTTAAAGACTATATACAAAAAAATTCTATATCTTTAAAGAAAGAGCTAGCCACACAGCAACGAATGCTAAAATAAGTAAACATGATCTATTACATAATCTGAAGCGGAAAGTATGTAGAAAACAACAGGAGTGTAATTAAAACCACAACTAGTAACTAGCTATAAATCATTTACTAAAAATAGAATAGTCTAGCTCATTTGTGGAAGAGGAGATAGATTTCAAAGATTTTTTTTTCTAAGCTACTCCTGAGGAAACACAAAAGAAAGAAAATTTGAGGAGTTTCCCTTCTATTCCTAAAATGTTCTGACTTGATTGGAGGGGAAATATTATAATAAAAATGAATAGTCTAATTAAATCAAACAGATGCTTTGCAAAGAAGGGAGGCAGTGCTAATACAGTGCAAAGAACAGAGTCTTTAGAGCCTAAAGACCTGGACTTGAATTTCATCCTTACTACTTAGTAGTTGTGTGACTTCAGGCTCTTTGCTGAATCTTTTCAAGCCTGGGTTTTCTCATCAATAAAATAGGGTTTATGCTATCTACTTCATAGTATTAATGTATGCAAAACATTTGATTGGTAGGTGTGGGGAAGTCCTGTCAGTTTGTCTCTTCAGATTCACCCTAGTACTCAATAAATGAGTTATTTTCTAACACTGGGCTGTGAGGGAAACAATCTAGTTGAGTAGGATTACATGAAGGGAAGCAAGAGATGTTGGGGAATCTATAGGAGATTAATGTAACAATGGTGGTACATAGTAATAGAAAAGTTGGGCCTTACAGAAGGTATAGTGCCCATAATACTGTCAATTGCCTTCCTAGCATCTACTTCCCCTTTTCTAACAGCTCTCAGATTCTTATTAGGTATCTCTGCCTCTTTTGAATAGTCTAGTGCTTTGAGAGAAGCTGACCCCTCTCCCACTCTAAGACTAGGCCTTGATTAGTCTAAGGACATCAAAGTAATTCCATCCCTCTTACCTCCATGTCTTGCTCAGGAATGGTCATGTGATCCAGTTAAGTCCAATGAGATGTGAGGGGTGTGCTTGTTGGTGCATCTAGGAAGGAAGCCCTTAACTTTTCTGAGAGAGCCATAGGAGCCCGCATGTTCTCTCTCCCACCCCCACTGAAGATAAATGAGGGGCCATGTAGTGCAGATGGCTGCTGACAGTCACCTCTGACCAAGAGGGGCACCAGCCATAAAATGAGGCAAACACTATAGATATGGCCAAGTGGAGAGACAAGAGGAACTTAGGTCCTAATGACCTCACTGAGCTGTCAGG